TTTTTTTTTTTTTTTTTTTTTTTTTTTTTTTGGTTCCGGGGATTGAACTCGGGACCTTGCACTTGTGAGGCAGGCGGCAGAACCACTGAGCTAAATCTCTGGACCCATAATACATCTTTTTATGTCTAATTTTTAAGAAATTCTTTTTTAAAAACCAAAAGTTTCATAAAAGAGTAAGTTATTCTTACACTGTGTATCATTAATCTTCAAATTACTAAGTACGACGGAAACCAAAATGATTTTTTTTTTTAAAAAGAGAAACATATCCAATTTTTATGGTTAAAGAAGAAATCCCTCCATTTCCTAGTTAAGGTAATACTATGAAAACTCATTCTTTTTCACTTCACACCATCATGTTAATATCTAGAATTTAAATATATACTGTTGTCTTGTTAAATATTTTAGGAATATGAAGAGAATAGCAGAATGTATTTACAGTTACACTAAATTTAAGCAACTACAAAAAACTATTCATTCGATGTGGGGTAAAAATAATTGGCTGGGCCAGGTGTGGTGGCACACGCCTGTACTCAGGAGGCTGAGGCGGGAGGATCGATGTGAGTTCAAGACCAGCCTGGGCTACATAGTGAGTTCCAGGTCAGCCTCAATTACATAGTGAGACCCTGTCTCAAAAACTAACAAAAGAATTGGCTGGGCATGGTGGTGTGCTTGGAATGCAAAGGCAAGAGGATTGCAAGTTTGAGGCCAACCTGTACTACATAGATCCTGAATCAACAAACAAATTGTATTTTGTGACATACAGGTGCCTGACCAGTTATGCCTCACTGTAATGTGGTTAGCAAGGAGGACTTTTGTTTTTGTTTCTTTTCACAAGTAGCAGTACACTTACATACTGTTTCTCCATTATTCTGTTTTTCCGTAGTGGTATATTTTGGAGAGCATTCCATGAATAGTCAGGTCTAGAACTTTTAAAAATAGATTGCCCAGGAGCCAATTAATTTAAAAATTATTTAACTAGTCCTCTTTTGGTGGGCATTTAGTTTACTTTGATTTCCAACATGGTGCTGCAAATCACCTGCATTTTAAAAGAAGTCCTTTGTTCCTAGCTAGATGCTATGAACATACAAGGATACATCTTGCAGTTTGTAAGGATTCTTGTTTACTCTGTAAGCGATATGCACTCTTTTCCTGAGAAGAAATGAAGATCAAAAGTTAAAAATTTGTATTGAGCTAATAAACCAGTGGTGAGAAATAAGATCATACCTTTGGGGGCTGGGGGTGTATGTAGCTCAGTAGCAGAATGGTTACCTGGCATGAGAGGTTCTGGGTTCAACCTCCAGTACTGGGAGTGGGGGTGGAAAGTAACTGGCTTGGCACATCTAGAGTTTGGTTTTGTTCAAAGTATGTGGAAGAGTCTTGGCTTAGGGGAGACTCATGGGAAGAGTTCTTGGTGTTGGCCTCTTAGGATACTTGCCTGGGTATTTACAGTCTCATTTTAACAGCTTTGCTGAAAGATGTTTCTGCCAGTTACTTGGGCTCTTGAGACTTGAAGGTGTGACCAAATTTTTAGGTTTTTGGAAACTCAAATTTTCCTCTTTTCTGTTGTCTGCCTAAGGCTTTGGAATAGAATCTATAGATCTAGGTTTTTGTTGGAATTAGCTGCAGGCAGAGCTAGGAAGGAACTTTGAGTACCCTAAGTAGGCCTTTATCTAGAGAGGAAGTAAGGCATATCATTCCTTAGGACCTCAGCAAGGAGGTTATAAATTAGCATTGTCTGTCTGAAGATAATCTAGCCTTGAGCTCCAGTTTTGCCAGAACCTCTGTATGTTCTTTAATAAATAAGTGGTTTTCTTATGACTTTATAGGCTGCCAGAACTCTATTGAGCAACCCTTTTGCCCTACATATTTTATTACAAGTTTGGACCACAGTCAACTACACAGGAAGGAAGCTGTCACTCAACTGGCAGGTTATCCAGCAGCTGATCCCAGCCAGAGTATTCGTGGCTTTCTTCAGCATGGCTGTGGCTTCTGAAGGGGCTGCTAGGCTCCGAGTTCTCCCAGCACATGAAAGCTATCCTGCAACTTCCTCCACATTCAGATGGGAGAGGCAAGTTGCAAGGCCAGTCCAGATTCAAGGGGAAGGGAACTAGAATCTTTGTTTTGATGGGAGGAAAAAAAGTTCAGGCTTCTGAAGTTACCTAGGAAAAGTCTGTACATTTATCTGGATACATACCCCACCTCCTGTGATTGAATCTGGATGTGTCCCAGGCGGTGCCTGAATTTTTATTCATAATTTTAGTACTGCAGGTTGTGGTCCTCAGTTTTCTGTCAAATCTACCTCTCCTTATTCTTGAGGTGTTGTTTTTGTTTAGAAGGGGTATGTTTTTCATCAGCAGGTAGAGGCTAAAAAACAAGATGAATCAGGAATGCAGACTATCAGTTTGGCGACTTGGAATAGAGCTGCAGGGTAGAGCAGTAGAATATTACCTTTTGTCTGCTAAGGTGGGATACAGTGCTAACCATCCACTTATTCTGAGTCATTGTGTGAACCATTGTTTCCTTTATTTTGCTGGTTCAAATATTTACTGATTACCAGTGCGCCAGATTGGGCTGGGGCTTTAGCTCAGTGGTTCCACCGCCTGCCTCACAAGCGCAAGGTCCTGAGTTTGATCCCTGAAGCACACTTTCTGGAGTGAAGTTGTGAAAAGGAAATGCACTGGATGTGCTGGCATACACTTAACACTGAGTTTATAAGGGACTAGATATAGTCCCTGCTGTGAGGGTGCTGAGGCAGGATCACTTAAACCTGTGAGCCTGAGACCAGCCTTGAGAACCTGTCTCAGTAAAAAAAATCCTGTAAAAAAAGAAGGGAAAGCTGGGTGTGGTGCCTATAATCCTAGCACTCATGAGGCTGAGACAGGATGATGACAAATTCCAGGCCAACTTGGGCTACATTGAGTTAAAAGCAAGCCTAGACTAGAGTGAGACTTTTTTGCAAAATACTTCTAGGGGTTAGGGTGAGGGGGAGGGATGGAAGTCAGGTGGGGACAGTTCCATGTTTAGTTGTGGGAGAAATGTCTAAGGAAACAATACTTCCCTTGAATGAAATGAGAACCCTGCTGTGGAGATAGGATCTTGAGGAGCCATTGGAGGGCATTAAGGAGAGGAATGGTGCCATTGTCTATAACCTAACCCCCGCCCCCCATAACAGGAATTGAACTCAGGACCTTGCACTTGAGAAGCAGGCAGGCACTGTGCCACTGGGCTAAATCCTCGGCCCAGTCTATGACCTTTTAAAAGGAATCTACATGAGGGGACACTGTAGGGCATGAGGGAGGCCCCAGGAAAGTAGTCCCACAGGCTTTCTGGTGATCTAGGAAGTGTGGTGTGCTTAGGAATGTCTGTGGGATGAATAATTCCTACAAGACTTGCTTGTCTCAGAGTTCCAGAGATCGTTTTGGGACGTAGTCGGGAACCCCAACTGACTAGGAGAGAGGAGGGATGACTTCAGAGCTCAGGTGTGATGTGGAGGGTGGGGTGGAAGGAGGGACACCCCATTTACAGCACAGTGATAACTAGTTGCCTCTGAAAGGTTTCTAAAACAACCCACAGTCCAAAGGGGTGGCACACAGTATAATAACAGAGAGAGCCCAAAAGCAAGGCAGCTGGCCCCTCCTGTGACAAGCACCACCCTGAATAGGCAAGGTCAACTTTGGTGCTCACTTTTGGACAGGCAGAGGAAGACAGTAACTTGCTTCCCCCAAAAAGCCTTATAGTTTTGTGTGGAGCCACCACACCCATTCCCATTTGCACTTTTAGGCTAGAGTCAGATCCCCCCCTTCCAGGAAGTCTGCTGAAATTGCACCCCACCTATTAATTGCTGGCCTGGCTCAGTCATTCCTCCTACTGGGCTGTGACCTCTGTGAGGGTACAGGCATAGTAATACCCAGAATGGCACAAAAAGGAAATGTGCATGCCTTGGAATTCATGTTTAAAACACAATGGCATGTGTTGGTGGGGGCGAGAATGGGAGGAGTCACTGGCCTCATGGCAGCTCTCTGGCCCACAGAGGAAGTTGGCCATGTATGGGTCAGAGGTCCTCATTCAGTATACTTTCCCCCCAGTCCTACTTATAGAATCTCTCAACATCCCTCCCACGCCCCATGTGGGCAAGCAAAATAACCGTCCTGGAGAACACTTGGCAAGGCCTTCAGAGTGCCTTATGGATTATCAACCCTGCCTTACAGTTTACTTGTCACTTAACCAAGCTGATGCCCATACTCCTTCCTTTTAGAACTGCCATCAGCATGTGCTTGGAATGCATTCTCTTAGGATGCGTTCTTCCTTAGCACTTCCTTGCTGTGAGAGTAAGTGTGTGATTCCCGCTCTCTGTGTTGAGCAGTGCTCATGAACCAAAACAGAATTTGGAGAAGGTTCATATTGATACTTGAGCCCAGCTTTTCTGACTCCACATAAGATAACCCAAAGCATCCCTTGACCCTCTTGGGTCCAGATGACTGGAGCTGTCTCTGTAACCTCTGACCCCTCAAGATTGCCCAGCCACCACGAACACCCTGCCCAGAACCTTCTGTGGATTCCACATTCTCTCTATTTTACTCCAAGTCTTTCCTACACTTTGGTCAGTCCCTGCTTTTGTTTAAACTGTTTTAGTTGGAGTTGTCCATTTGTCCCATTCTCTGCACCGCAGGAGCCCACAATCATAAAGTCTCCTAGGCAGTGGTTGAAGGGAGTCACTCTGTACAACTTCGCTGGTGATTTTGGGGCAAACTTGCTTACTTTGCCCTGTGTAAAATTTAGTCAGTTCTCTCTGTGTGACAATCAGTGTATTTTCAGACCGGACCATTAATAATTCTGCCTAGATGACATGAGCACAGAGGACCTCCCTAGACTGTTTTATTCCCTCCCTCCCATAGATAGTACTTAGGCAAGCACTCTACCACCAAAATAAAACTCCCACCCATTCAGGTTTTTTAAAAAAAAATCTCCCAGTCTTTCCATGTAAATAGATCAACAGTAAACATTTCCTAAGGATATTGAGGTGTCAGATTTTACAACTTAAGTGTTAGAGGTACCTTTGAAACAGGTGAAGGTCTAGGTTCAGAAGGGAGCAGGGAGCAGGTGGGAGACGCAAAAGGCTCTGCACATCTGTCCACCATCTTAGCCAGCCTGCCCTGGGGAAGGAAAGGACTTTATTTAATACAGTGAGAACGACTAAGAATGAGCTGCAGGAGCCAGAAGCTTGGGACACCAGTTTTGAGGGTCTAGGAGAGATGAATATGCCCCCCTTCCTGGATTATATTTCCCTTTACCTGCTTTGAGGTGCTAGCCAAAATAAGGGCAACTTTTAAAACATAGGGCCAGATGCAACCAGACAGGATTTTTGGGACATACCTAGAGACCAGTTTAAGGGCTATTATGCTTATTTTCTTGAAACCTTAGATTATATAACTGATACCACCTGGTTGGTTCTTATCGCTAACTCAGAGTTTGTGGCAAGCCCCCCCCCCACATTCTAGCAGGTCTCCATCTTTTTGAAGTTTGTCCCTGGGGGTATCTGCATGGGACTTGGAGAGGAAGAGTTATGTCCCCTTACCATCTTCACAGGATGGAAACCTGGTCTGATTCCATTACCTGAGGAGCCAGGGCTGTGAATTTCCCTCAGTTGACCACACACGAGTAGTTGAAAGAGCTGCCTCACTTACTACTGCACAAACTAATTTGTTGAAGTCTGAGAAAGGTCGATATTTGAGACATAAAATTATTCCTCATTACCTTTGTTTTTCTTAATAAAAATGGAAAACAATACATGATTTTGTACCCCCAATCTATCTGATTAACACAGTTAGCATTTCCTTTCTTGGAATCCTGCTGGTGTGAGTGGGGCCCCCTGATTTTTTTCCAGGATTTCATTGGTAAATCCTGCTGTGATGACAGCTTGTTCAGAGTGCATCTGTTGCTGGGTGTGGTGGCACTTGTTGGTAATCTCAGCTGGGAGGCTGAGGCTGGAGGATCGCTCTGAGTTTGAGGCCAGCCTGGGTTATAGCAGGTTCAAGGAGAGCCTGAACTGAACTACATGGCAAGACCCTGTCTCAAAACAAACAAACAAACAACAAAGTGCATCTGTTGAAGAAACATACATACTGTTGGGAAGAAAGATGCACCAACTGCACATGACCAGGTCTTTGCTTCTTTTCTGGTAGTGGCAGGACCCAGCAGCCATTCCTGGTTTGGCAGCTGAAAATTCCTTTGCAGTTAGTGGGGTTAACCTATGTTATAGCAGCACTGGGCCCTTCTTTCTCAAATCACATACTGCTTAGCAACTGAAATCCAGTTCTTTTCTCTGTTGGGCCACTTTCTACTAGCTTGTCTGGGTTTCTTGTCTCCCACTTTTCTTTGTCCATGCTCTTTTGAAAAGGCCTAGGGGTTGGGAAAAAGCTCAGTGGCAGCTCACCTGCCTCGCAAGTGCAGGGTCCTGAGTTCAATCCCTGGTACCAAAAAAAGGCCTTTAGGTCTTATTGTGTTAGTGGTTCTTAATCCATCTTGCTTATTTAAACAAATTTTTATTAGTACATGTATGCAGAACATAATGATTACATCCATCAAGGGGAGTTGGTTTCGGGAGTTATGTAATACACCTTAATTCTTTTTCGGTCCTTCACCTCTCTTTGTAGTGGAGACACAGAGTCCAGGCTCACCTGCCTTAGTGCTGAGATTTCAGGCTTGCGTAATTAATTAAGCTTGAGGTATCTTGCTTTTTTATGTCTAATTTCACCCATCTTGTCTCCCCACAGCCCTACCCAGGGCCCTCTAGGTTCTTGATGGCTACCAGGAAGTCGCTGTTGCCCTCTACAGATGGTGTGTTCTTTTCTCCTGAGGGCGGTGTGCGGGTGACGGGTGCCTGCCTGGTAACCACTAAAATCAACCCTGGGGCCACATCCTAGGGTTAGTCTCAGCATGGGGCAGACATGGACCCCGGGGATAGTGCTTTAGAGGCAGGTGGTTGGGCTCTGTGGCTGTCCCACACCCCCTTTGTGGTAGTATCCCTAGATTGGATTTTCCATTAGAGTGAGGTGGTTTAAACTTAGTGCCTAACAAACTGCTATTTTAAAATGGTCTTTACAAAATAAAATTTTTAATTTTTTCTTTTTTTTTTAATGGTACTGGGGATCGAACTTGGGACCTTTCACTTTTGAGGCAGGCAGCAGAACCACTGAGCTAAATCCTGGCCCACAAAATAATTTTTTTTGGAGGGTGGATACTGGGGATTGAACTCGGGTCCTTGTGCTTGTGATGCCAAATTAAATTTCTTAAGACCAAGGCCTTTGGACTTGGGTCCCTACTTTTTCACTAGAGATTTGGCTCAAGCCCCCTTTGCTCTTTCTCATTTTGCCTTTTGCTTAGAGGAAACTGTTGAGAAAGCGGGTGATTCCTAGGATGTGGGGGCAAGGAAGGTGCTGCAGAAGTTATGTCTGGCTTCCTGCGAATGTGTGTCTTTTGAGACAGGATCTCACTATGTAGTCCAGGCCCTCTTTGAACTCACTGTGTAGCCCAGGCTGGTCTTGAATTTACCATCCTCCTGCATCAGCCTCTTAAGCACTGGGATTATGGGCATGTGTCACTGTGCCCAGCTGGCTTCTGTCTTTAATGCCCATGGTAGGGCAGTTTTGGAAAATGCTGTAGTCACCTGGATTTAGGTTTAGGGTGTGGTGACAAATCCCTTTGCTTCACAGACATACTCCAGTCCTCTTACCAGAGCCTCACTCCCTGCCAAGGGCTGCTTCCCTGCATTAAGAGAATTGAGAGGTCTTGTGAGTCATCTGCTTCCAGGGACTGGTGTCCTCGATTTAAATAATTCCTGCCTGTGAACAGCTCTGAATTAGTTAGAACAGTATTTCTACAGCAGTAAATAGTTGGTTAGCCTCTTGGTTTGGAGGGAGTACTTGGAAAGTAACCAGCTCTCAGCATTGTGAACTGGTCTGACATGAGCCACCAGGAAGGCAGGGATGGATCTTCTCATTCCCTAACCTGGATTCAGTATCTTCAACCAGGACAGAGGACAACTGAGTAATGCAGAGTCCAGCTGCCCAAGATACAGACCTTTGTAGCTAGGTGACAGAAAGGATTCTTGTTCTCTGTTTAACCCATACTGGGGATTGAACCCAGCTCTGTTGCACTGAGCTGGATTCTCAGCCTCTTTTTACTTTGATATAGGGTGTCAGCAAATCTCATTTCCCTAGGGCTGGACTTAAACCTTCTGTTATCCTGCCCAGAGTGCTACACAGTGAGTGCCACCACTCCCAGTTGGAAGATTATTATTTTTTGTGGGCGGGGGGTACCGGGGATTGAACTTGGTACCTTGTGCTTGTGAGATAGGTGGTGGAACCACTGGGCTAAATCCCTGGCCCAAGATTTTTATTATTAAAAGTAGAAACCATGGCTTTAAAAAAAAAATTTTTTTTTTTTGAGATGCTAGAGTTTCATTTTGTAGCATAGGTGCTGGCCTCAAACTCCAGTGATTCTCCTGCCTCAGCCTGTGGGAGTGCTGGGATTACAAGTGTGTATGTATGACTATGCCTAGCTCTAAATATTTTTAAAAACTTTTTGTTACTAGGTAAGCCAGGCGTGGTGGCTCACGCCTGTAATCCCAGCACTCAGGAGGCTGAGGCAGGAGGATCACTGTGAGTTCAAGACCAGCCTGGACTACATAGTGAGTTCCAGGTCAGTCTCAACTACATAGTGTGACCCTGTCTCACAAAAACAACCCCCCCAAAAAAAAAAACTTGTTACTAGTTCATTTTGGGGGGTGGGTTACCGGGGATCGAACTCCGGACCTTGAGCTTGGGAGGACTAGTTCATTTTTATCTGAGTATTTCTCCTCTTGACCAGTGGTTTCACCTCCCTTCTCATGCTTTAACAAAATCCACCTATCTACATGATCCCTACTGCACAGGCATTTGAAACCTACTCTGCTACTTTAGGAAGGGAAAGGGCTTCAGATGTACAGTGTTGTGCCCCCCCCTTTCAAGAGGCTCGGACTGAGTTCCATGGCCACTTACAGAGTGGCCTTTTTCCTCAGCTAGCCCCAGAACTACCGATTCCTGTTCAGAACACAACAGTCCTGCTTTTGCAGTGAGAGGAAAACTCTTGTCTTCATCAGAATCTTTTTTTTTTTTTTTAATGTGCCATTTAAAAACCTGTAATATACATGGGCAGTGATCTCCGTGTTGGGTGGGGCAAATCTCTTTTATTTGCAGCTGGGAGCTGCATGGGCCACTCATTAGTACACCAGAGGTCAGATGCATGCCGCGTGGCAGCTGGGACACTAAAGATTTTGTAGGGCTTTGTGTGACCACTGGCCTCCTGTGGTGCTGTAAATCGGACTCGGTGCTCTAATTTTTTTTAAAAAAACCTCCAGGGAGTTAGGCCATGCTTGACACTTGTGAGATAGAACTTAAGATAATATTTATAATGGGGGAGCAAAAGAAAATAATGCCTAATAGGAACATTACCGAAAGAATAGTAGCAACCTATTAGAAGCAAATTATGTCAGGCCATTGGCGTTAACTCATTTATGGGCTCAGTGAGTATTTATTAGGTCTTTAGCTAGGAATAGTGCCACAGCTGAGGCCAGGCTCCTAGCCTCACCCTATCAACACTTAGGTTGTTGGTAAACCACCCTTCACCCCCATTTGAGATTTTACTTACATTTTTATTGAGTGTAATTAACAGTCATACATTTTAAGGTATATACAGTATCATAGTTTGAAATGTATACATTATGAAATTTCTACTCTTGAGCTGACATAGCCATCACTGTAGGTACTTTACAGCTAGTTTGGGTTTTGACACCCCTACCACCCCGCTTGCGATTTGCCGCTGAACGATTTTAGCTTTCCGATGTATGTATTGCCTCTTATTTTTTTGGTAACTCAGTATTAGAAACTCTGCTCCGGAGAAGAACCTGGTGTTTGGAGGGGAGAAGGAACAGTGTACACTGGGACTCCGGTGCAGGGGCATGTGGACATGGCGGGGGGGAACCCCATGGACTACCACCACCACAGCAAGGTGCATTAGAGGAGGAAGGAGCAGCGGAGTTGGAGCAGGACCTTCCCCGGGGTACTTCGCTGGTGCTGGGGAAGCTCTGACAGCAGCTCTTAGGGGCCTAATGTTCACAGGGCCTGTGAAGATTTTCTTCTGAAAAATAAACCAAGAAAGGGTTCTGCTGTGACCTTTTAGGTGGCACA